AAGAACTCTTTGGTCAAAGAAGATTCTGCCAAATTAAAAGTCACTGGCAATTGGAAAGAAAAAATAGACGTCTAGTGAAGGAGGGGAAATCATGCTCTTTCATTTTGACATTTGTGTTCAATAGTCAACTTGCCTTCACTCCTGCAATGTCTGGATGCTCCGGTCCTGTCTGACACCATTTGCCACAAGGCCTACCCAGGCCAGATCACCAACAACATGTTCTGTCTGGGATTCCTGGAAGGAGGAAAGGACTCTTGCCAGGTGAGTTTCATCAATCATCATCAAATCTCCTTATCCATGCTAGTTCTCATTTTTGAAATACCCAAGGTTGTCCATCTTTCCCTGGACCTCAGTCTGAGTGGCAGGGCAATGTTTTGAGATAAATAATAAGTTTTCCATATGATGATTAGAGCTAAGGATAAAGAGCCACGAATGGTGATAGGTTGGGAATTCCTGTGGAATGGATCCCCCAGGAAGGTGGAGAGCCAGTAGGATCACATTAAATCTCAAAATTATCATGTATTGTTGGCTCATAACAGAATGAGTAAAGACAAAAAGAAGGAATGATAGACCTAGAAGAAGGAGATGGAAGGTTGGATTTGAAGATAGAAGAAGTGTTTCGAGGAGCATCTGTAGCCTGTAGAGATGACCAAAAGATGTAGGGAACCACCTTAAATCTCATTTCCCTTCTGAACATAAAGAGCTCTGGTTGTCTTTTCCTTCCTGTGTAGTATGACTCTGGTGGCCCTGTGGTGTGCAATGGAGAGCTCCAGGGTATCGTCTCCTGGGGCCACGGCTGTGCCCTCAAAGGAAAACCTGGGGTTTACGCCAAGGTGTGCAACTACCTGGACTGGATTCAGCAGACCATCGCTGCCAACTGAACCCCTCTCTTTCTTCACAATCCCTCTCCTGCAGTCAACCACACCTTCATTCTGCATCTTAATAAAAATACCAGTCTTTCATGAATTTGTCTAAGTTCATTCCTTGCTTGGTTTTGACCACTTCCCCATGCAAGCTTGCAGCTAAATTAGAGAGTTACCAGGCAGACACCCTATTTTACAGAGATAATTGAAAAGCAGATTTCATCATTCACTCAACTTACCCAGTAAAGATTTGCTATCTACAATATGCTACCACCATCTCTATGAATTTTTTTTAATGACCAAAAGGTGAATGAGATCACCACTGCCAAAATAATTTGTTATACGATTTTGCTTCAATCCATATTGGTCATGCCTTCTTTAGTACATCATGAAGATACTTGTATTTTTTTTACTTGTCAAGGTGATGTACACAGTTACATTCATAAGGTAACAAGTACACTGCTTGTCAAACCTGTTACCCTTTCCCTCATTTTTCTCCCACTTCCTCTCCCCCCAACCGCCTCCCAATTTGTACAGATTTCCAACTTGTCTAGTGAATATTGCTTTTGCATTGGTTCCCCTTGTCCTTGGTCGCAACATTCTGTTGATGTTTGTATTTATTACACAATTTTTAACCTTTTATAATTAGGGTAGACATCTGAAGAGAAACTTTGAGTTTCTAACACTGCTTTATCTTTATCCTTAGGATGAATCTAGAATCCTTTCACTTTCCATTCAAGGCCTGTAAGTGTTTGGGCCTACTTAAGGTTTTTTGATTTCATTCCTCAGTTTTCCCTGCACTGTCCATTCATGGTATGAACTACTTTCATATAGAAGATTTCTCTGTTTAAATAAGTACTTTTAGATCCCCATTATTTCGATTGTTCTCTGAAGCAAAGGATTTTCAGATTCCCCTGAAATAGTTTTTCTTCTTTCTCATCATTACCTCCAATACACACTTTTATTACTCCCTGAGGCAGAAGAAAAGTTCCTAAGCCTCATGAGAGAAATGAGTAGAAATCAAATGGGAAATTAGAACAGGTCTGAGAAATGATGAGAGAAGACAAATCATTTATTCTTGATCCCACCCAGTCGGCCCTTTTCCATATGTCTTGTTATTTCAATCTCTAATTTTCCTTAAAGACTATACTTTATAATGTGTAAATTTCTAAGAGCAGGCAAATGCTTTATTCTCCCATTCATATATGTCAATGTATTTAAGCCACTATATCACCCAATACTTGTGGGGGCGGGGGGGAAGGAGGAGGGTGGAATCATTTTGAGATTGTTGAGGTCACAACTGAGTGACTTCACAGAAGGTTGACCTCAGTAGTCATGAAAGAGGAGTAGGGGTAATTCTGACTCCTTATCTCCTGCATAGATGAGCTCTCTCGATCCTCTACAAAGCAAATGATCATTCTCTAGTCTTACTATTATGGTGATTATTAGATTTTGGTAGAAAAGAAAAAGAGAAAATTAAAAAGACAGGTGTTGCCTTTCTGTTGTCATCGATAAGGTTTTATCGGGAAATGGTAAAAATGAGACTAGAGATTGATAGTATGAATTGGTTGATGTGAAACAGAAACAAAAAATGTTCCCTTTTCCTCTGGTGGAATAACAGTGGAGAGGTTTTTTTCTCTCTCTTGGGGCTTCTCAGGATCAGCAACAGTAGCTGGGAAAGATGGGGAAATTTCAGGATAAGTCATAGCAATGTGTCAGGAATCAGAGTGTGCAAGGGGTTCACATCACTCAAAAGTAACTTTGGTGGTGGGAGGGGGGATACTTTTTATTTAGTCATGCAAAGGGGTTTAATTCAACATATCAGTTCCTGAGTTCTTGATCAGAGTTACTCTATGTTCTGTTTATGAAAGTTTTAGGGTATGAATCAGTTCCTCTTAAAATCTCCAAATCTTTACAGTCTAAAACCAGTTCTAGCATTGTTAGTAATTAATTGAGAAATGAGACAGCTGATATAATGTATCTTGGCAAGAACAATAAATCCCAGTCTACTGGATAAGTCTTTTGAAAATGGCAGAGATGTGTTATGAATGGAGGACTTCAACTTGGGAGATTTGTGTGTGTGTGCACATGTGCACCAATACTAGGACTTGAATTTATGACTAGGCACTGTTTCTAAGCTTTTTTTGCTCAAGGCTAGCAATATACCACTTGAGCCATAGCTCCACTTCTTTTTAGTGGTTAATTGAATGTAAGTCTTATGGACTTTCCTACATGAGCTGGCTTTGAACCATGATCCTCTGATCTCAGCCTTCTGAATAACTAGGATCATAACTATAAGCCACCAGCACCCAGATTGTGACCCAGATTTGGAATCTTATCAAATTTTAGTTTCTTATTTGCAGAAAATAGCCATGATACTTAACATATAGGCCTATTACAAAGGACAAATTAGTTTATACATATGACACAAGGAAAAAATTACTAACTACTGGTTTAAAGCTTTGGATAAAGAGATGAATGACTATCTCTAAAGTTTGGAACTCTTGACAACATCCAGATAGTAGGTTTCACATTAATAAATTTCATCAGAACTAAGCTGGCTAAGGCACTGGTGACTTATGTCTATAATCCAGGCTATTCAGAAAGCTTAGATCTGAGACTTAAGTTTTGCAGCCAGCCTGGGCAGACAATTCTGAGCCTTATCTTCAATTAATCAACAAAAAATAGAAAGAAACCAGGGGTGTGACTCCAGTGATAGAGAATTAGACTTAAGCAAAATAGTACCAAGTCCCTTGAGTTTAGCCCCAGTATTAGCATACTCAGATACACAAGTAATTTGTACAGCTAAAAGAATCTAACTCTTACAGTGTTTTATGTCTCAACAGTGTGTGTTTGTATATGTGTTGTATGTATTGCTGGGGATTGAATCCAGTAGGAAAAGGAAAAGTAATAAAGGTGATGAATATGACCAAAGCCCATTATATTTAAGTGCGAAAATAACACAAACATCTTCTATAAAACAATATATGCTAATTAATTTTAAAATACATTTTTTTGCTGGTACTGGGCATGAACTCAGGGCCTGGTACAGAGATTTTTTCCTTGTTCTACACATTGTTTTTTTATATAAGTATTTTATTGTAAAGATACTATACAGAGGGGTTACAGTTACATGAGTAAGTTAATGAGTACATTTCCTATCAAGCATTGTTACCCCCTCCTTTGTTTTTCCCCTATAATCCCTTCTCTCCCCCAGAGATTTTTTTATACAAAGCTGAATATCACTTGAACCATATTGCCAGCTCTAGATTTTTTTCTGTTTCATTGGAGATTATAGAGTCTCAAGGATTTGTCTGCCTAGGCTGACTCCAAACCAAGATTTTCAGATCTCAGTCTCCTGACTAGATGGCATTGTACTATACCTAGTACTTAAGGTTTTTTTTTTTAAAAAAAATTCACTTGTCACAAGGGAGCAACGTCTTACTAGAGTCATGAAAACGAGTCTGGCTTGTCTGAGCAAATCTTAAGGGAAGAAGATTCTTTGTGGTAATTAATCTCCCAGAACACAAAGGATGGGGCCATTTCTTAGCCATCCCTGTTTTCTGGGAGCTCAGGGCTCAGGTAAAGCTCAAACTTGTCACAGAGAATCTGAAGACTTTGTTTAGAGTCCTGAGTGTGCTGCCAACTCCCATGAGAACCACAAATTCATCACCAAAATGACAGGGGAAGGCAAAGAGATGATTTCACTGCATGTATTTTGTACCTGAATGTTCTATGAGCTTCTGGAGATAGCACAGGAACACTGAAAAAGGGGACATGACAGGGAGAAAGGGTTAAAGTGACAAAAGCTAAAGAGACAACAAAGAAAGCTTATGTCACAGACAGAGGAGGATAGAGGTCAGCAGATGCATGTAACATTCGGGGAGTTTTAGCACCAAGAGAGGAAGCATCAGGGCCTTCCCTGGCCTGGTCTTTGGCACCCAGATCCAAATTGTTTCCTAGCAATGCCTTATACAACTCGCTCTCAATCAGGACTAGTTTGGAGATTTTTGTGAAATCTCAACCCAAAATAGAGCCCCTCCTCTCTGCCCCGGCCTCATAGCTACTCTTGTAGAGAATTTTGGACACCCACGCTGGAGCCATTTATCATCTGCTCTGACAAGATCCCAGTCAATTATGAAGAATTTCCTGGTCATCACCTTCTTGGGGGCTGTTGGTGAGTTTGGGGAATGGCTTCTGCCTAGGTTGAAAGCTAGGAAAATGTGTGATGGATTGGAAAGAGAAATAGCCAGCTACAATTCAGGGGATAGGAAGTGGCAACTTTAAAGAAACATTAACTGTTGTCAGGTAACAACGGCTCCTGCCTGTAATTCTACTCAGGAGGGTGAAATATGAGGAACATGGTGTAAAACCAGCTTGGAAGGATGGTCCATGAGGCTCTTATCTTCAAGTGACTACCAGAAAAAATGCTGGAAGTGGAGCTGTAATTCAATTATACAGTGCTAGCCTTGAGCAAAAGAAGCTCAGGGACAGCACCCAGGCCCTGAGTTCAAGTCCCAAGACCAGCTGACACAAAAAATATACTAGCTGCTGAATGAAGCCCAAGAAGGCCTCTCGATGTACAGTTTATCCTGTCAGAGTTTGAGGTGTCCCCCTTCTGATGTCTGTGAGCCCGTGTGTTCATTGACCTTACATCTACCTCCCCTGGAAAGCCGCAGCAAGCTCTCAAGCATTTACATTTCTCCTGCAAAACCACAGTATCCTTCCCCTAGCAAGAAGGCTAACAGAGGGCCTGAGCTCTGGAAAGGGCTCGTGAGTGCATCATTATGAAATTCAGATAGCATTTACATTTTTTTACTTTTAATTCTTGGGAGAAGTTATGTGCTTAAAATGGATAGTTCCTTCATTTTTGTAACATGTATCACTGGCAATTAGTTTCTGATCCACAGAAGAGGAACCTGAGTTAGTGTCACAAAATTTTAATGTAACTCTATCTCAAACCAAAGCATGTGTCAGTTACTTTAGTATGTACAGCTTAAGTCGCATGCATTATTTCCTCTGATTTGTAAAAGTGTTAAAAGAAAGGTATTTCAGTGCTATCATCTTTGGGAAGTGTTAGTTAAAAACTCTCATGGTTTTAAGTCTTCTAACTTCTTTGGGTTTTCTTTCCACCTGTGACCTCCCTTCAATTACGTAGGAGTTGCTCTGGAACAAAATACTAATAAAACTCGGAAATTACCAAGTGACTTTAACATTCCTTACATGGTCTATCTTGAATCGACCCCAGAGCCCTGTGTGGGGTCTCTCATTCACTCCGAGTGGGTCCTGACCGCAGCTCACTGCCCCTTACCGTAAGTATCCATTTACAAAGACCACGTCATACAAACTCACCCTAAGTATCCATTACAAAGACCATTGTGAACAAAGAGAATACTGTGAGTGAAAAGGGTGGAAGTAAGTTTTCCCTCGTGGAGCTAACATTCTGCTAGAGGGAGTAAGCTGCCCTTGCCTCCCCCACCAAAAACATAGCTGTAAATAAAACATAAAACAGAACTGCAAGGTGTAAAATAATCTGAAAATATTATCAGGCCTCCCTGAAGATAAGATACTCAAATATTCAGATATTCCAGGCCCCACAATGCTTGGCTTCCACACTAAGAGGAATACATAGGACCTAAGGACAGTTTACATCTCCTGTAATTAGAGTTGAAAATCAGATATTATTGATATCATCCATAGGATCATACTGAGGGGCTTTTAGTAGGAAATAGCTCTTTGATATGTTGCAGGACAGAGTGGGTGATGGAGTTAGAGTCTAAATCTGCCTAGGAAATATAAGGGAAAATAGTGACTGGGATTCCAGACACTCTTTTTTAAGATCATGAATAGGATATTATTATTATTGTTATTACTATTGTTATAATTAAGTAGTTGTGCCAATAGGCTATATTATGGGATATAGCCAGGTTATAAGTACGATGCTTCTAAGTCTACTAGTCTCCAATCAGTGTAGGCCAGAGAGGACCACAGAAAAGCCCAGAAATAATTAAAGATAATGGATCCTAGATGCACATGCCTGAGAGCTGCCTTATACCATATTTCTACTAACTGTGAGTTGACACAATCCAAATATGCATAATAGATTCTACTGAATGTGTTCTAGGGGTCTGATGCCACATTAGGTTTTACATATGTGTGTCTACTGTAACAATCCGGTATACTATTCTAATTTCATAGACTGAGGGTAGATCAGGTTTCAGTTTTCAGGTTAAGAAATTAAGCAAGTAGAGAAAATTATTCCTAACATTTCTAGCAGTATAACCTTCTATGACCCTGTTCTTCCCCACATCCCTACCTTTATTTATTTTTCCCCAAAGTTCCAAAATTAGACTGGGAGTATATCAACCCAACATCAAAAATACGAAAGAGCAGCTGCTGAATTACTCATTGATCATACCCCACCCGAAATTTGATGCTCAATACCTGAAAAATAACCTCATGCTGATAAAACTCTCCAAGGCGGCTGTGGTAAACTCCTACGTGGGAACTATAGCCATAGCTCTGGAACCCATAGCACTTAATGACACCTGCTTTATACCAACCTGGACCTGGAACGAATATAAAAACTGTGAGTATTTGGCTTTGTGGTGGTTTATTCTTGATGGAAAGAGCTGCAGTGAGGGCTAAGAATTTACACCCTCAAGATTGGAGGTCCAAGATAAGACTCAAAGAGATGCACCCTGCCAGTGCCTCATACCAGTAATCCTAGCTACTCAGGAGGCTGAGATCTGAGGTTCAAAGCCAGCCTGGGCAGGAAAGTCCGTGAGAATCTTATCTCCAATTAATCACCAGAAAACTGGAAGTAGCACTGTGGCTCAGGTGGTAGAGCACTCGCCTTGAGCTGAAGAGTTCAGGGACAAGCACCCAGGCCCAGGGTTCAAGCCCCGCAACCGACAAACAAAACAAACAAACAAAAAAAGGGATGCAGGGCAGAAAAATCTGACATCAACAGAGAGGAAGCACAGAGAACCATCTGTGTCAAAGGAGCCATCTGCCCCATTACCAGAGCTGGTTCTCTGCTAACCATTCGGAGTTCCCCTCTTTAGGTGGGTCTAAGGGAACTTGATTATTAGGACATACTGAACTGACATGTCTTAGGGGAAAGACAGTCACTGCCCGTGGGGTAGGCACTTACCTCTCCCTTTTGTGACAAATGGGATGAGCTGAGAGATCTGATGTCTACAGGAGCCTGTCTTCTCACAGGCACTTTGCAAAGGAAATAGGTTTTTTTTTTTTTTTTAATGATGCACTTGTTGGTCCCTATTGGCTGTTAGTTCGTATAGGCTCTTAATAATCAGCATGCGCTGTATGTATTGTTGAAACTTGCTTAAGCAGTTTTAAACCTTGCTACTGGAGGCTACAGAATGCTTCCTGTGTTCTGTAGAAATGAGACATGAGTGTTTAAAATCAGTACATTTTGTTAAAACAGAAATAGAAAATGAGAAATGTTGCAGTCTGAATACCTTGCAATTTTATATATCTCAATTAAAAAGCCAAGTATCTCAGAATCTACGTGAGCTAATATGTTTTCTAAACAAATTGCAACTCGTATAAGCTTTTGTTCTTGACTTTGTCTTTTTCCAACTAATTGCATCACACCTTACAAAAATACTTTATTACACATTGTTTGAAAGCAAGATAAAGCTATGGAAAGGGGGTTATTATGTCAGCTCTACATGCCAGAAAAATAGTGACAGCTCACTGTAGGCTCTCCAGTGCAAGATGAGGATGAACTTACTGTCTCTTTCTCCTTAAATCCACTTATTCTGTCCATGCAGTTATTTCAGTTTTATACCTGTTGCAAAGTATCAAGAGCCTAAGAAAGATGGAGTGTTCAGTCCTGCTCTGTGTTAAGTTCTCTCAGGGATGAACTTACTTACAAAACGTGGCTGATTGCACTAGCAGTTGAGATAAAGTAAGTGACTCTTGCGCTGATCTGTCTGCTCTTTCTCAGTCAGTGAACCTGATATCCTGACATGGACAAACCAATATTCTCTTCCACGTGAAGACTGTTGGAACATAGTCGAAGAAGAACAAGGACAAGCAGTGAATATCATGTGCACAGCAGGACAGCCTCTAAACGTCATGTCTACAATTAAGGTACTTACCCCTCCTCCACAGCCAAAGACCTTCCACAAAGCAAGTGGCAGAGAAATGGTCTTTCTCCCTTCCAACTTGGATCCAGGTTTGTAATTCATTCCCCCTCCTCATTTTTATTTATTTATTTCACTTTTTCTTTTTTTGTTGGTTGTGATACTTGAACTCAGGGCATTGTCTGAGCTTCTTTGCTCAAGACTAGCACTCTACAGCTCCATTTCCAGCCATTTTGGAGAGAGGTCTGGAATGTACCATCTGTCCTTTATCCCACTTCTACTCAGGCTGCCTCAAGTTTGAGCAGAGAAGGCAGACTCCAAAATGAAGGGAAGGAGAGGGTTGCCAGCTTGCAAGCAAAACGAGTGTACATTCTTAGATAATTTTCCTCCACTGTTGTACCACTTCATGGGATCTAGCCTTTCTCCATGAAATGCACATTGATTTCCTGTTCCCTCCCACCCCCCTCTCTCTCTCTGGCAGGAAGTCACAGCCGCCCCGGCCATCTGTTTGGGAAGATTGCATGGAATTTTGTCCTGGGCCAAACCTGGTGTCACTCTGGGAAATCGAGCGTTCTTCACAGAAGTTCATCCTTATGCAAGATGGATCCTGAACATTATGGAAACCTACTGAGGTGTCCCATGATTTCTACGCTGGATCCAAAGCGTCCTCTTTCTTATTCTTGAACACAATAGAAAGAGAGAGTATCCAATTAAAAAGAGGACACCAGAAACTTGTGTTATGACTCTGACTTTCTTTGTCCCATAATCTTGATGAATAATGAGAAATTTCATGAAGCCCTTATAATTGGTTCATTCAAACAAAAGTTATTTGCACTTCTACTTAGTAAAGCAGTGTGGTTTCCAGAGACACACTCGGGATTATGAAACAGTCTTTGCCCTATAGGATAGACAATCATGATTCCTTGTGCAAGTTACTATCATGGAGATAAGTGTTCTAGGTGGTGGAGGTAGGGAAGGAATAACCAGATAGACAGATACATTAGGAGAGGACAGTTGAAATAGTTGAAAAATAACTGATTAAAAACATATAAAAATATTGCATGTGTAGAAAAATACGTAAAACAAAATGTAACACTTGACAGTAGAAAATATATTGTACGGGAGGAGCAAGAATGTGGTAAAAGATTCAGTGTCTTAAACCAGTACATGTTTACTATCTCAGAGTTTCAGTAGGTCTGGAGTCTAGTCACTAAGTAGTTGTGTTGCCTTCCTCAAATCTAAAAGCACTGAAGGGGAAGAATTTGGTCCTATGCTTAATCAGGTTGTGGGAAGAATTCATTTCTTCATGCTCATTAACATAAGTCCCTCCAGTTTTTGCTGACTGTCGGCTGAAAGCCACCTTTGGAGGAGTTGCTACAAACTGATTTTCCTCCACATGGCTTCTTTGCCCCACTGAGCTGTTTCAACATAGTTTCTGCTTTACACCAGCGGGAAGTATTCATGCTTTCATTCTAGCTAGTCATATAAAGCAAATACTGTGTTTTACATATTAACATAATCATGTGGTGACAGTCCCTCACTTCCGCCATGTTTTATTAGAAGCCAGGTTTCAGAGCAGAGAACTATGCCAGGTGTGCACAGCAGGGCTCAGGGTTTGTGCCCGACAATGTTCAATAGGGTTTTGGTCAAATGATGCAATTCCTGGATCTTTATCTTCTCCATGATATTGTGCAAGTCTTCTACCACACATGCAAGGCTTATTTTTTTTAAAGAAAGCTTTCATTCCTACTTATCTCTCTACCTTCCTTTCAATACACCTGATTGACTATCACTCTACAAACACAGTGTTATTTTAAGTATGTCTATCTTCACTCAAGTTTTTCCTCTCCCTTCTCCAACCTAAGGCCCATGTAAAATTCAGTATTTGAATATTCTTTTCTCAACACAAGGTCAAGGTCAAAGGACCGTTGACCTCTAGTCACTAAAGGTACATGCCTCAAAACATTTTATTATGAAAAATGTCAAACAGCTGAAAGACATTTTTTTTAAACTGGAAGCACATGCTTGCTCAGCTGGCACTCTTACCATTTGAATCATGCCTCCACCCTGACCTTTTGCTGCTTATTTTGGAAATGGAGTCTCATGTACTTTTTCTGTGCTGGTTGGCTTTGAACTATGATCTTCTTCCAGATCTCTGCCTCCTGGATAGCTAGGGTTATAGACATGAGCCACGGTACCCAGCCAAAGAGCTGAATGACTTATACTAAAGACTAGTACACCCATCATCAAGAGTCTACCAAAGTAATTATCTTTATTGACATTTATTTTTATTGACTATTATTAACTAGAGCCCTTCATTTATATTATGACTCCTTATATTGGGCAGATCTATAGGTTTTGACAAGTGTATAGTAATAAGAAGAAATCACATAGCTTTCCAGGATCATATAGAAAAATCTCACTACTCTAAAACTCTCCCAGGTTTTATCTACTTCTTTTTCTCTCTCTGTCTTTTACTCAGTCTCTCTCTCTCACTCAGTCCCTCTTCCTCAGTCTTTCTCCTCCTCACTATCTCCCTTGGTATATTTCTCCCCCTCAATGTCTCTGTGTCTCTCTGCCTTCCTCAACCTCTCCCTCCACCTCTCTCCCAGCTTCCCTGTATCTCCTCCCTCTCTCTCTCTTTCCCTGTCTCTCTCTCCCTCCCTCCCCCTGTCTCTCTGTTTCTCTTATCTCTCATCTCTTTTCTCTTCTCTCTCCTCTACCGATCCCTGTAGTTTTGTCTTTTCCTAATGTTACCAGTTGTGTTAATATAGAATATACTCTTTTTTACTCATTGCGAACTGCACAGTTCACCAAACAATGCACACTTAAAGCCAGGCATGTAGGCATCTATAAGCCTACCTATTAAGGAGGCAAAGGTATGCAGAATATGAGTTTGATGCTGGCCCTGTCAAACCTAGTAAAGCTCTATCAAAACCAAAACTAAAAGGCCCAGAGCTACATTTCAAGTCTAGAGCACTTGTCTGGTCTGTGGAAGGCCCTGGATCCAATACTCACTACCATTTAAAAAAAATCAAATTTATCTCCACGTCTTTTCATGACTTAATGGCTCAGTTAGTAAAATGTCTGTTTAACATCTCGCTGTGTGGTTATACAACATTCATCCATCCATTCACCAGCTGCACAACAGCTCGATTTCTTCCCAGGCTTGACCCCTCTGAATAAAGCATTCAGGCTTCCTTGTGGACATACTTTCTAACACACTGGGGTTAACACCAAAGTGTATCCTTGATGGATCACGTGTCAGACTGCAGTTAGCTCTTAAAGAAACTGCAGAAGTGGCCGCACGGGTATCAGTCCCTGGTATCCCATATCTCTGCCAACACGTTTCATTTCCATCACAGCCAGAGGCCTGGGCATAGCCACTGAGATAACCCCCAGGGTAACACAAACAGGCTCAGCATCATAGAGACAGGAGGGATCAGTACCCTGCATCCAGCTCACAGCGCTACTTGCCTGTCCAGACCAGAGGAGGTGGCTCTGGGGGCATTGTGAACTTCTTCCTTGAAAGGGAAGGTAAAACTCTGGGTTCCAAAACCATCTCCAAATGTGTGAGACAAAGTCACTGACCACTAGATCTTTGTGAACAGACACCACCACCTACCCTGATGGTTGGAAACCTTTTCAGGAACTGAATCTTGCTACTAAAATAATTTAGATATCCTTTTACATGGGGATCTCTTCTCGCTTTATCCTATTTAGTCCCCTTCTCTTCTCTCTTTGCTAGCAAGCTGAGCTAATCCTGGAAAGAGGCCTTCAGCATCATGAAGCTTATCATCTTCTGGGCTCTCTTAAACCTGCCTTGTGAGTATCTCTTTATGTTTATCTACACGTTTCTCTCTTTATATTTCAAGGGGATATCCTGGGGAAGCCACAGAAGCAGATCAAGGCAAGAGTCACTGGGGTTTGGAACTCAGGGTCTTGTGCTTGCTAAGCAAATACTCTATCACTTGAGCTATACCCTTAGCCCTTTGTGCCTTAGCTTATTTTCCAAATAGGGTCTTGTGCTTTCTGCCCAGAACTCCCCTTTGACCATGACACTACCAAGTATCTGGGATTGTAAATATGCACCATCAACCCTACCTGATTAAATACTGACTAAATAGTGCATGGTATTCTATCTCACATGTGGACATAAATCCACGGACAACTGGTCCTGCCCTTTCTTCTTCATTCTACTTTTTAACCCATCATACTAATGACATCTACTTATGTATTATATTTATTATTATTGAATGACCCTGCTAGTATGAATTGTGAAAGCAGAAATGTCTAGGCTGCTTATCTTGTTCCTAAAATAGAACCTGGCACATGATTAGCCGCTCAATAATTTTTAGATGAATTAATTATTTCCTTTCCCTCCCTGGACTTTGTGAAAATTTGGCCAGTTCTTACAAAGAAATGCATGACTGCTGGGAAAAGGGATGAACCCTGTAAAACACTCTAATCTTGACCAAAGAAAAGGTTTATAAATCAGCTAATTCAATAAAATTAGCTGAACAACACTGAAAAACAACCGAATTCAACATCCACTGAATTACAGAAAGTATTTCAGAATACTTACATTTCAGTTGATGACAACAGGGTAAACACCCTTTCTTTGTTTCTATCATTCACGTTTCTTCATTGTCTTAGAATAAAGTAAGTCATTTGACTAGCTTACAGATAAAGGGTATAGAGAAAGGTGAAGGGCATTTGAAGCCTCTTAAATGATGATGCAGTCTTTATATTCAATGTGCACTGTGAAAATGCAATCAGGTAAATTGAGGTGATGGGTGGGGTACAGAGACTTGGAGGGGGGCAGAGAATGATGAAAAGGGACCCAATGGATTTGTACTCACAAACTGACATGCTGAATTGAAGCCCTTGGTGCAAGTACTTGGAGATTTTTTTAATTTAATTAAATTAAAAAAAAATAAGAAGCCAGATGCCAGTGGCTCATGCTTGTAATCCTAGCTACGCAGGAGGCTGAGATCTGAGGATCGTGATTGAGAGCCAGCTCCGTCAGGAAAGTCCATGAGACTCTTATCTCCAATTAATCACCAGAAACCTGGAAGTGGCACCGTGGCTCCAGTGGTAGAGCATGCCTTGAACTCAAGGACAGAGCCCAGGCCCAGAGTTCAAGCCCCAATGTCTGATTAGATAGATAGATAGATAGATAGATAGATAGATAGATAGATAGATAGATAGATAGATAGACAGACATATATATATTTATACATATTTAAAAATATATTAAATGCTTGTCTTTTAGTTTCCCAATGATTCCCAGAAAATCCCACCATGTCTTGTCCCTGCCTCTCTTTCCAGGTGTGTTTGTTTATAATTCTGACCACATTGCTGGCCCTACTCCACCTTACTTGGTTTTCCTGAAATCTGATTACTTGCCCTGCACCGGAGTCTTGATTCACCCGCTATGGGTGATCACATCTGCACACTGCAATTTACCGTGAGTTACAAGTCCCTGAAATCATTCTACTCTTTTGGGTTCTCAAGTTGGATAGAGAACCTCAGTCCTTCGTAGGTCTGTCCTCCAATCAAATGAGATAAAGATGACCTTCAAGGGACAGTGGGTAACAGGACGCAACAAAAGGAAGGGGGGAATTTTTTGGAAGGGCTATTTAAATAAAGCTTATAACAATGGATGGGGAAGCCAGGTACAGTTACATATTCTCATGAGCAGGAATTTTGTCTCAGGAAGCTCCGGGTAATATTGGGAGTGACAAATCCATCAGATCCCACCGAAAACAACGTGCAGGTGATTGGCTACGAGAAGATGATCCATCATCCACTCTTCTCAGTATCTTCTATTGAGCATGACCTCATGTTAATCAAGCTGAAAAGGAAAGTTGAACTCAATAACTATGTGAAACCACTTGATTTTCCCCAAGAAATGGTCTCCCAAGACACCATGTGCACAGTTTCTACCTGGGCTTATAACTTATGTGATGTCGGTAAGTTCAAAGTCTCCGTAAACTCTTGTTGGATTGGATGAAGTGCTTTCAGAGAGAGAGCTTTTTCTCTGGGCTGAAATTTCACCCTTTGAAGCTTTCTTCTGTTCCCCTCTGCAGGTCCTTTCCCTTTCCTTTACCCAAGGATACCCATGGTATCCTTCTGGCCTTTCCTCCACTTTATCTTTCTATCATTCCTTTCAAATCTGCTGTAAGCAGTTTCAATCAGAAGACATTTATACATCTAGTTCCAATTGGCTGAGTGATATTTTATTTGACCTTGGGGTTTCAATGTCTTCAACTCTAAAATGAAGGCCAATAATCAATCCAGTGTTTTATAACCATTTCAGGCAAGGAAGCCATTTAAAGTCTTGAGATGCCATGAAATAAATCTTTAATGTACACATATAAGATAAATACACATCTTGTGCTAAAGCAGATAGGACTTACTTATGCAACATTCTAAGACATAAAGCTTGAAGAAAATAAAATTCAGAGTTTTTATTACTTTTTTGACTGATAGCATTCTAAACATGGCTCGTCTCTTCACAAAAGGCTACTGTTCCTTTGCTCAATGGAAAGCTTCTATAGATCACTGGAAATTACTGAACTAAATAGTTCACCTAAGCTACCTTCTATTTTTCATACTTCAGATTTTGTGAATGGACTATGAGCAAGTTAAAACTGTTTTCTGGCTTTCTTCCTGCTCTTTCTGCTGTCTTGACCTCAGAGTTTTATGCTAACAGAGTATCTGTAGTTATTAATTTGGATACCAGTGAGTCCTGAAGCAAAAGAGTTGATTATCTTTATTATAAGAAAAATAGAAACAAGAATATGGCTCCTTACTTGAGACGTTAGGGAGTAGTGCTAAGGGAAAAGAGGTACGTGAATGAAGAGAGGAATAGGGAGGAGGCAGTCATAATATTCAATGCACCTGCCATGGAACTGGGGAAATTGATGGGAAGAATAGGGTTGGGCGGGATGGGGAGAATAAGGAAAGGGATGATACTTACTCATAATGCATTGTACTTACAAACTTATATGTACTTATAAGCTGATATCCATTGTACTTATAAACTGATAGGTACTTACAAACTGATATGGTAACCCTTTTGTACAACTACTTTAAAATAATAAAAATGTAATTAAAAAGAATATGGCTTCATAGGAAGAGCTATTAATGCAGTTTTACTTATGAGTAATTTTTATCTTAGTTTATTTAGTACACATTATAGACACCATTCTATGAAAAGACAGGTCTCTCAGATTACACTTATCTGTGTGATGCTACCTTTTTTTCTTTATTTCTTTGGTGCTTGTACTAGGGTTTGAATTCAGAGCTTTTTGCTCTTTCTTGGCCGTTTTCCATTCAAGGTTGGCACTCTACCATTTGCGCTACACTTCCACTTCCAGCTTTTTCTGGTTAATTAGAGATGAGTCTCACAACTTTACTGAACAGGCAGGCTTTGAACCATGATCCTCTTAGCGCCTCTCTGAGTAGCTAATATTATAGTTAGGAGCCACCAGCACCTGACTCCTTCTCTACTTTCTGATTGTAGAATTCAAGGCAGCTATACACGCATAATATTGCCATTATTCAAAACTATTAAAAACTGTTCTTTAGTAAGGCCTTCATTTTCAAGCCCTAGTATATATTTTCTTGAATATATCAAGGAGGGGGAGGAATGGCAAGAGGAAGATGGAAAGGTGTTCTATTGCACAGTAGGGTGGCTGTAGATAATATTATATTTCAAAATAGCTTGATTAGAAGATTTTGAATGTTCTTTACACCAAAAAGTTGTAAATGTTTAAGGTATTGGATGTGTTCATTATTACCTGAACCCCAATCATTACATAATAAATTCATAAGCCCAAGAATCATGTTGTGACAGGTAAATACATAGTTATTATTATACATCAAATAAAAAACAGTAAAAAAGAAATAGATATTCTTTGCCTTTTTTGTTTGTTTTTGGTGCCATCCTGGGACATGAACTTAAGGCCTGAGCTCTGTCCCTGAGCATTTAATGCTCAAGGCTAGCACTCTACCACCTGAGCCACAGCTCCACTTCTGACTTCTTTTTTGGTAGTTTATTGGAGTTAAGAATCTCTCAGACTTTCCTGCCTGGGATGGCTTTGAGCCACAATCCTGCAATCTTAGCCTCCTGGTCAGCTAGGATTACGGGCATAAGCCACTGGCACCCAGCTAAATTCTTTGCATTTTGAGAGTCAATCTGATTTGAGGCAATAACTATCCACTCTGGTAAATAATATATCTGATACATCTGAATTCATCATCTGATTCGTTATGTCCAAACAATATATGACTGAAATAAAAAGGAGTCATTTATTATTTTGATCTGGCTTGTGAGGTAGGTAAGTAAACACTTCCTTAAGATGTGTTCCCAAAAAAATATTGAGACAGATCAAAGCAAAGAATCAGTGGGAAGTGTTTTTTTTTTGCAAGAATTAATATATTATTTTCAAAGGAAGATATTGAAGTAAGGGAGATGGGAACACACACGTCATTAAGAAAAACAAAAATCTCAAAATACAGTACTTTCCCACAAGAAAGAAGCCATGTGGGAACACCCACCCCATATGTAGATATTGGTTTTTTTTTCATTAGACTAGACCAACATTTTCTGGGTATGTACAGTTGAGAGGCTTTCAGAATCATTGATGTAAAGGAGACAACTTGAATTAAGAATCAGGACATAAGGTTTTGAACCCTTTAACTACTTAACTCTTGTTTGGGTAATTCTACAGTAAAACAACACAAGCAAACAAGAATCTTTTGGAGAAGACTTTTGTGTGTTTTCATTTGGTATTTCACTTGACCAATAAGAAGCTAAGGCTAGATATCTCTAAATATTTTAAGCCCTAAAGCTTCCGTAATGAAAGACACTCCTTAAATCTCTAAAATTTTAAAGCACCCTGTTTCCTTTTATTACATAAACATCTCCTATTTCCATATACCTCCTACGAATTTAATCCCTTTCACAAAGAAGCAGACAGCTGCATCATAAGAAATTATTTGTCTGATAATGTCTTGCATGCAGATAGTTCTAACCTGTGGGCTTCTGATGTCTCGGTGTTCAGTCTCCTTTATTTTCTAATGATAGAAGGGGAAACATTGAACTAAAAAAGAAGGGAAGCAGGAAGGGAAGGTTCGCTGTTGTTGGGAATGGCTCAGGATGTACCATTTCTGTTCCCTGTAGCTAAGGACCCTGACTCGCTCCAAAACGTGAACATCTCTGTCATCTCTCAGGCTGAGTGCCACAATGCCTACAAAACCCAGGAGATTACAGACAAGATGATCTGCGTGGGCATTGTGCCAGGGAGGAGGCTGCCTTGCAAGGTAACATACTCTCCGTGGCTTTATCTTCTTGTTCCTTGCATCTTTTTTTGCCAGAACAATAGCCTAGTTTTCTCTTTTCCTGGTAGGAAATATCCTCTGCCCCAGCCGTCTGCAATGGCGTCCTTCATGGGATCCTGGCTTACACAGATGGATGCATCTTGAGAGCTGATGTCGGCATCTATACCAGCATCTTTCACTACGTGTCCTGGATTGAAAGCACAATCCAAAACAACTGAGCTGCCACCGCAGGAATTCTGGGCCGTGGAACAGCACATGTCTCTACATCTAACCTCAGCATTAAACTAAATGGGCTCCTTAGACTGTGCGTGCCTAACTTACTTCTGAGCATCCTGTAACATCGAGATGACACAACCATCCATCCTCCCCCATAAGTAAAGACAGAAAGCACAGCAAACCATAGGCAGCTGGAGTCTACCTAGGGGGGTCATTTTGTAATTGAAACTGACAATTGGCTTATTGGAGAAAGGGCCACTCCATAACCACTTGGTGTACCAAGTCTCTCCCTACTGCTTATACTGAATTCAAGGATGTGTTGTTTGTCTTCCAGTGATTTAAATACATAACTTCCAAATAGGTCACCTGACAAGAAGTGATGAGTGAGTAGCAAAACTGGTGGAAAGAAGTATTTGTTTTTGTTTTTTAGTTTTTTCGATCTGGTCGTGGGGCCTGAACTCTTGGCCTGGGCACTGTCCCTCAGTTCTTCAGCTCAAGGCTATTGCTCTACCACTTGAACCACAGTGCCACTTTCAGCTTTTTTCTTTTTGCTTATGTGGTGCTGAGGAATCGAACCCAGGGCCTCAGGCATGCAAGGCAAGCGCTCTACCACTGAGCCACTTTCCCAGCCCCAGTGGAAAGAAGTATTTAAGAATAAGGGCTGTAAGACACATTGCACTTAATTTCTCCTTGTCAATACAACTCATCATTGGGCCTAGATATGTTCTAGTCATTCATTTTGCAGGATTCTGGGCAGCTACTTGAAACCTGAGAGATTAATGCAAAATTTAACTGGGTCTATGACATGATAGAAAAACAGAGTCATTATGTATACATAATATCAGATTGTACATCTTACAATATACACACGTATATATGAAATAGCTATATCTGTATTTACATATATATGTATATATATATCTCCAGTCTTCCACTTTCAATAACTACAAATGGAACTCTCTAGAACACTGTCTTTGTTTTTTTACTTTTCAGTCCTCAATCAAGTGCCCAGAGAAAATTGCTTATGAAAATCTCTCAGACCTCTACTGGTTGAGGGCTACAGAAGGGAGGCAAAAAGAGGGGAGCAAAAAAAAGAAAAGAAAGAAAGAAAGGAAAGAAGAAAGAAGAAGAAGAAGAAGTAGTAGGGAAGGAAGGAAAGAGAAAGAAGGAAAGAAAGGGAAAGAGGAAGGAAGGAAGGAAAAAGCTAGTTGGACAGCTGGCAAAATAAAACTGGCAAACATGTATCACAGAAACAAATGCTGGACAAAATCAAACCCATATGCCAGAGACAGGGGTGCTTTCCTTGTCTCTCTTACTTTCCCAGAGATTAAGTGGTTGATGGAGACTCGCGGAGGATTGTCTCTCACTATGAAATATACACCCAAACCGGCTCTGGCCTGTCCAGTTTTGAGCTCCTGCAGTGCACCAGTCCTGGAGAGTTAATTTACTCACGTTATTTGGCCTCTGGTTTTTCACTGATTTGTGTTTAGGTTCATAGCAGGCAGCGCAATGCTTGATTTCCAGACTCTGTATAAACAGGAGGACTTGGAAGAAGTCTGCAACACCTGCCATGACCTGGACTGTCCCAGTGACGCCCCCCCCGGCCTCTCACCTGGGTGGCAAGGTCTCTCAGCCCGAGCTTCTGTGCTCTGGTTGGAGCACACCCATTCCTCCTACCTGGAAACCTCGTCTCCAGCCCCCAGCAGTTTCTGTCTGCCCTCAGTTTCCCTTTTGCTCTTGACACACGAGCGTAGATCTGAAGCCACGTGTGTACACTCGAAGGACATTTTGTAGTCATTTTGGTTTGCTGCTGTGTGAGTGTGCTTGTGTGTGTGAGAGAAGCAAGGAGGGGAATGATTGATGCCAACACCCAGGGAACAGGGAGGAAGGGAAAGCGGAGTGACGTGAGGTCAGAGCAGCCACACCACGAGTCTCTGGTGACCCCATTCTGCTGTCAGAAAGTCAAGGAGGTCTTTGTGAAGACTTCTGCTCCCTCCGTGGCACAGATCAGCTCCGGGGCAGGAATCCCTGTGTCTAGACAGCAAAGAGAGAGAGACAGAGAGACAGAGACAAGAGAGGAGAGGAGAGAGAGAGAGAGAGACAGGGAATTGGCCAGGTAGAAAGCTGTCTTTCTCATCCATACAGCAGGTGAGGAAAATTGGAAACACAAGGCCACAAAGGTGTTGATGCCAACTTAGCCCCAGGCTGCCAGGCTGCCCCAAGCCAATGACGTCCATATTTAGAGATCATTCTGTGCAAAAGAGAGTTGGGGTGACATATGGGTGGACCAGGGAAGGGAACAAGTCCTGAAGGCCAGGAGCCCTGCAGAAGTGCTAAGGGGAGATCTCCCAAGGAACTTGGCTCTTCAAGGGGAATGTGGGTGAATGCTGCCCCCTGGTGGACAGACGCCACCCTCATCACAGGTGCTGAGAAATCTCCCCCGTGTTTTTTGCCCACAGCCCACATCCTCTTTGGCCAGTCTCCCAGCTGCGTGCCCACAATGGGTGTACACTGCTGATCTGCACTGCTCAGTCCCTGTAACATGTTGACCTTTTATAGGTTTGTGAGGATAACAGCCTTCCCCAAAGCTTCCCAACTGCGAGAGCCAAAATCTGCACCCTGAGCCATCCAGAAGCTGGGATTCAATTATTGTGCAGTTCAAGTAGAGAAAGGCATCCAGGAGACTCACATGTGGTTGGGGCACGTAGTGGGTGGGGAAGAAGCAGGCTAGGGCGGGCTCTGGGCAGAGGAGGGTGGAGGGGTTGGGAGTCTGCTGTGTGGTTTTTATTCAAATGCTCCAGCAGGGCTTCTCACTGTGTCCTGGCTGCAGGTGCAGTACAGGCTTCTGTCCTGGGTCACATTAGCCACTTGCAATCTTAATTCCATGTCATTGACCCGTGTGGCCAGGTAGTCCGCTCCAGGGAGGGAGATGACCTCCTTCTCCCCAGGACTCCTTAACTTAACCAAAAACTTCAGCTGCCGCTGGATATCTTGCTGGAACCAGCTCATCCAAGGGTACTGGGAATTCCTCAGGAGACAGCGCAGAGTCTTAGCCCCTCCACGTCGTACCACAGCCCACCGGGGCATTTGCTCCAGCAGGTGTGCGGTGGGATCTGAAATACAGGCAGGTGGAGATGAAGGCAGCTGGAGTTACCCCAGAAGTGCCTGACTGAGCTAAGACCTAAAGATAGAGACTCAGGAACCACGCTGGTAGGAGCCTGCTGGGAGCAGAAGAGACTGTGGACCAAGAAGAGTGGCGTGCCCATGGAAGCAGGCTGGCAGGTTAGGGTTAGGAAGGCAATTCTCTGCCTATGGTTTTCCCCCCTCTCCACTCCCTGGCTGGCTGCTTCTGCTTGCCATCTGACCTGCACTCATGACAGCCACCAGCCCCCAGACACACAGCATGGAAAATGGCCCCATCCTCTGGCACCTCACACTCCCTCCAGAGGGTGTGAGGCAGAGCCAGCCAGGAGAGAGAGAGAGAGAGAGAGAGAGAGAGAGAGAGAGAGAGAGAGCAGCAGCCCACCCTGGGTGAAGGCCATTGGTTGGCAAACTGGGCCTTGGCTGCAAGAGGGCGTGGCTTCACCCCGACAGCCAACATCTTTGTTTAGTCTGAAGCACAAACCTCAAAGCAAAGGTTTTCAGGCTTCCTGGCTTAAAGAGCTCCACCATGCATTCCCATTGACACCCCTGCAAGGGACTTAGTCCTGCACCCCCTGGATTGCAACCGACATGTCCCTGGAAGGGATTCCAATGTGGATCCTGGATTTTGGCAAGGGATCAACACATCTCAGTGCCAGGAAACAATACCAAGAGAACTGAGCAAGCTTCTCTCACCCCCAAGGCCTCACCACACACAGAGGCTGTTGTAGGGCCACATCAGACAGTGTGACAATGGACTTTCAACTCTGTGAGGACAAATGAAAACAAGAGGCCGCATCTCCTCTTTCATCTAGAATTAGCTCTGACTCCTTGAAGTGTGTGCAAATTTCTGAAAGGCCACATAATTCCCTTGCTAGTTGTAAGACTCAGGGAGCATATTTTATTTTTCTCAAGGGATTGGGAATGATTCTGAAATGTCATCTTCAGGGAATGTACTCATCCTTCATTTTCAGATTCTGAAAGAGATGAAGCCCTCATTTATGAGGTACCATAACTTAGGAAAGAGCACAGTGTAGAAGTTCAAATTCAAGCTGACACCTGACACTGACGTGCAAATCCACCTTTCTATTCTGAAGGTATGTTTTACGTTATGGCAAACACTGGTGTCATCACAGTTGCCAGGGGTGAATCTAGCATAAGGTGGGTGTGACAGATGGTGGCTGAGGACTCTTTATGGTTCACCATGAAATATATATATATATATATGATGCATTGCATCTGCTAGGGCACAGCAGTGGGTGAGATTCCTGGCTTTATAGTTTCTCAGTGGGTCGAGACTGACTGGTATGTGTCACATTCCAATTTAATGCCTTTTCACTAATAAAACTGTTTTCTTTTCTTTTCCCCTTATGGAGATTTTTCTTCTCTTTTTGTTTAGTTTGAAAATATTTTAATGATTTAGTAATTTGTTTGCTATAAGTAATTGATTTTGAGTAAATAAATTATCTAGGTATAATTGCACAATAGTTAACAATACTTTCCCAATCACAGATAGGAAGGTCACTGACATGTAATACAGCTTTGGCCACCAGTTCCCTCATCTGAAAATAGAAATCATACAGAGAACTCTTTCATAGGAATAAATTGATCCATACATGAAAATGGCTTAGAATAGACATTCGAGAGTATTGCTTTTATTGTTGCAATGGAAAACTTTAATTTTAATTAAAATGTGATGGAATTAATAGTAGTAATTGTCTTCTATTACCCATTATGTAGGAACTAACCAGGATTGCAATACCAAGTTCCAAAGACCTCCTTATTAGCAACCAATTTGGAAACCAATGTCTAGGAAATTCAATTAAAAAGGTCCTGTTTAGTTTCAGCATGTCGATATTTG